TTGAAAGATAAACATTTATTTGCATTTAAGAAATCTTCGCTTTAAATAGTCTGAACATCTTGTAATATTTCTTTTACAATATTACAATTCTCGAGTTCGTTCTTTCTTCCTGTGATTTGAAAATGTTACCGAGATTACTTACTGTTGAAATGATAATTTTTAAAAAATTCAGTTCTGTCGTTATTAAACAGTAAGGAAACCAGAAACGCGAAAATATTTGTTTTGAATCTACAATATTTTCGAATTTGTCCTTTCTTGGAAATTTCGCAACAGCTTATATCGAGTGGCAATGTTTGAAGAGCAAAAGTCTGTCGTTTCATAGTTAATGGTAGAAACTTGATAACGGGTATTAGTTATTGAATATTTGACTGACACACGTCAATTAATATCACATAATTGTGGAGCATAAATTAGGGAAACGTTGTGAAATATAAATCATTTTTGTAATGTTGCTGCGACATTAATAAATTTGATGTATCAATCAGTTAGTCAATTAAAAGAAAAGTTCATAGCACAATGCGAATGATAAATATCCGTAATCTCGTTTAAAATTCTTCAGCGGCCGTAATAAATTTGACGAAATCGCGAAATCAATAAAATAAATTCTATTTTGTGCTTGATACATTACGTTATCAAAGGGGAAATTTATAGAACGAAATAAATAAACAGAATAAATGATATACACATATATTATCGTTATCTTGCTGGGAATTCTACATAGTTAGATTAAATTTAACAAAATTGCGAAACATATGAACAGTCTACCAAATAAACTTTATTTTGTGTTTAATACATTGCATTCTTGAAAGAAACATTTCGTAGTGGCAGTAAAAATTACAGAAGCCCGTAATATTTTTCAAAAGTTTATTCAAGTGTACTAAATTCGATAAAATTGCGAAATCAATCACGCGAAAGATCTACCTGTAAAATGCGCCTATAGAATTCTATTCTTTTGTGATTAATGCACTACATTGTTAAAGAGAAAATTTATAGCACGATCTAAGTGATAAACATCCGCGATTTGACGAAAATTCGAAATAATGGAGCAAATTCGACAAAATCGCGAAATAAATTCTATTCTGTTCTTAATACATTTCGATATTAAAAAAATAATATAAAGTAAATAGCTTGGTATAAATAACAAAAATCCATAATCTCCTCGAGATTTTAGCGTAAAAAATTGGAAAGCTAAGATGTTATGAAATAAATTCTATTCTCAATATCATCTCGTTATCGAAGAAAATAATAAAAAAAAATAGATAGCCCGGTGTAAGTAATAAAAATCTTCACAATCTTCTCGAAATTCCAGCGCAGAAAATTCGACGAAATCGCGAAATTAATAACGCAAGACACATCAATTGTAAAATAAATTTTATTTTGGGAATGTACTACATAACAGATCTCGTTAAAAAATTAAAGAAAACAATAAAAATAATAAATATAGTAAAATAATAAATGCAAATTATATTAAAATAACAACAAAAAATAATAAAAAAGTAACAAAAATCCACGAGATTCTCTGCACAGAAAATTCGACAAAGACGCGAAACTAATAATAAAGTGCCAATCGATCTCTAAAAATAAATTCCACTTTGCTCTTGACACATCTCGCTCGTTAAAGAAAATATTAAAAAAAGACAAATAGCTCGGTGCAAATAACAAAAATCCTCCGCGCAGAGAATTCGACAAAATTCTTGAAAAAACGTTTACCCGCAGGATAAATTCCCAAAATTGCAACATTTTCACAGTGTTAACTGTATTTAAATTATGCAGCCGATAGGCAAAACGATAAGTTCCTTACTTCTTAATAATTTCCACCCAGAATGCGATGTCGTACGGGCGAGTTCGAAACGGAAAGAAATATCGACGAATTATCGTGTACGGTACGGTCACTCGTTATGGTCCGCGAGCCAGTTGCCCAGCGGAATGGGTCAAACGAAGAAGCCAGGTCGGCGGGACCAACGATCGGTGACCGCGTTATTAATCGTGCCGAATCAGAAATTGCAGGTTAGCGGAACTATCCAACCGGGGTGACCGCGAGATTCCGGAACTTACGAAATTCCTGCGACCGCAGCCCGCCCAAGAATTCCTGCCCCGCCATCTCTCCCCCCATAACGATCCACGAGATCACGCTGTAAACTACCGCTGGTCGTCATCGATCGCTAAAATCACGCGCGCCGAGTGCCCTCCCCCTCCTTTTATATCCGCGTTATCGCCGCGCAAATCGACCGCCACTCCAGCACACAACGATCCGACACATCGCGGCGGTGTGTACATTTGACATCGTTCGAGGGAAGGTTGTTGACCAACGCGGCCGTACGTACGACAGAGAAGCGGCGCTGTACGTGGAAAAGACAAGGCGCGATGCTGTCACGAGCGGATTTCTACCCGTGGCTGGTTTGCAAGTCGGCCTGAGCGGCGGCAGTAGCAGTCGGGGCCCCCTTGTCGCCCTGCGGAATCGATAGTCCGCGTGCACAAAACGCCGATGAACGCTCGGTACGCCCAACGCGATTCCTTCTTTTCGATCGTTCTTCGGCACTCGAAGACAGAGGTAGGGAGAGAATGGGTGATTCTCTCTCGATTCAGATTAGTCGATCTACTTGAACGCGAGTCGAGTGAGTTTAAACGGATACTCGATGGAAAATGGATACGTAAAATGTCGTCCTTTATGTTCTTTCGCGATTGTGGAGTAAAAGTGGAGCGAAAAGTGAGCTTTCGCCGGGAATGAAAAGACACGTGAAGGGATTTCCATTTCACAGGCATTTCCATTTCACAGTTTTTTGTTTCGGTATTTGTGTAAACGTATACACGTCTTTCTGTTCTAATGGTTTCTTTTTTTTTTTTTTTTTTCTTTTTCCTGGATTTATTATTGTACGCGTATACGAGGGGTCGAAAACACGAAGTTCGTATTAACTTGGCAAGAGTAACGGAAAACTTGAAATAACCTGTTCACCTGGCAACTGTTGTTCCCTTCGAATCAAGGAATAGTTGAAAGAACTTCAACTCTGCTCGAAACTTGGGAGAATGTTTCACGTCGGGGAAAAACGATAGATTCACGTTGATAAAGTATTCCAAACTTCCCCGACGTAAACGATTCGAAGGTTAACAAGAACGTGCGCCGAGTAAATAACAAATTGATATGCGTGATGGAAGTTTATGTTAGGTTCGGTTTAGGACAGTGAATAAGAGGCTGAGAAGTTTGGATTAGAACAGAGTCAGGATGTTTCGAGCAGTTTGAGTCAAGTAGCTGGTAAGGTATAGGCCGGAATTTATCAAGCTGAGTGAATAATGGCTTTCAATCTGCTGGAATTCAAGTTGCTCAAGATGAGTCAAATGGCTAAGAGCTTTAGCAGCGAAATTTGGACAGGGTCAGGATTTGAAACGAATTTTCAAACTAGACGAATAACAATTTCCAGTCTCGTTTTAGAATTCAAATTAACTCGGCTGATAATAAACTTCGGCAAACAGACTTAAATTGAAATGATAGTAAGAGACGTAGGTTAGAATTTTTTTTAAAGCTGAATGAACAATTTCAATTCGATGAAATTCACATTGTTTCGAGAATAGGATCAGAATATTTTAAATCACCCAAGTCCATATTAATCAAAAATATGGGTTAGAATTGTCACAATTATCACTTCACTGAGACTTAATACAGATGACTCGACTAATGAGAGGTTTAGAACAAGGTTAGGATATTTCAGGTCGATGATGAAAAGAGACAAAGATTAGAATTTTTCAAATTAAATAGAACTTTCACTTCAGCTGATTCGACTTAACAAATAAAAGTTTCAGCAAAGAGCTCCGAATCAAATTAAGATTAGATCTACATTAATAAAAAACAAAAATTAGAATTTCTCTGGTTTTCAATTCAAATCAGGATTGAAATCGTTCCAACGTAACTTACTCGATTAATAGAAGCATCAACGGAGAGGTTTAGAACGGGATATTTCACATCGACAGTAGAAAGATGTAGGTTAGGATTTTTCAAGCTAAGCTTCCAAACAACAGCCTTCGACTCGCTGAATCTTAAATCTTTCACGTTCAGGTGGCTCGATTACCAAAAACGAAAGCTTTGGTAGACAGGTTTATTTAATCAAAATTAGGTTGGTAATTACGTCGTAAATGATAGAATTTCTCAAAACGAGTGGACAACAGATGAAATTTGCAGGTGAGGTACAACTCCGATAACTAAACCGAGCGAGACGAAGTCGAACCAACGCGAGCAACACGAGAAAACGGGAGATAGAGAAACTAGTGAATCCGATAAATCAATGAACGAAAATACTCCGTACAACGAGCGTCGGAAGAAGGAGGATACGACGACGACGACGCCGGTGGCGTGGAAAGTTACGGGGGCACCAGTCGAGGCGGGTGCATCGAACGGAATCGCGGTTTGCGCGAAGAATTGATAAGGGCAGGGGCGATTAAGAGACTGAGGGAATTCCGTTCCCTTTCGAATCAGTCTATCCTCTTCCCTACAATCTATTCTGAAGGCTCCTTGGTCGCTCGACCGACCAAGAAGAAGCGATATTAAAAATAGTCCGCCGCTGATCGAACGATCCTCCCACTTAGCTTTCCTCGAACGGTCGAGTAGTAGACGATAGACGCGAGATCAAGGAATAGCGACGATACACGGTGTAACGAAAATTGAATTTCCCCGCAGATAAAGGTTCGGACGGAAATCAAAGAGGAACGCGAACGAAATGAAGGAGAACGAGTGCTGGAAACGCGGGTGGAAATGCGTGTATCACGGGCGGCGTAATCGTAGCACACTCGAGAAACTGTGATCGCCCCCGCGATCGCTTGGCAAAGTAATCGGCCGACACAAAACACACGGCGAATATAATTAGCCGCGGTGGCGAGCGGTGTTTCGCTCAGTGGTGGTTGAAGCTCTCGTCGGCCGGAGCTTCGGTCTGGCCAAGAGTCCCCCGAGGCGAGGATCCACTTAGGATAACTCCGCCACCGGAGGGCGGACTGGCAAAGGAAAATCTACTTACCCACGGTCGCGCTCTCTTCATGTCTCGGGACTACTTCACCGCATCTCAACGACACTATTCCGCTTTCGTATCCTCCATGTCGATGCTGGCGAGTGACGATGGCGCTGGTCGAAGTACACCCGTACTGGCTGGCACACTATGGACACTAGCTCTTTCGCTTCGACGTACCGCTCGACGAAGCCGGGTCTATCTTTCTCTCTCTCTCTCTCTCTCTCTCTTTTGTTCCTGCTTTTGTTCCAATTCGAACTCCAGCGTACGCTGGCTCGCTGTTTCACCACCGACAAACGCCAGTCGTCGTCGGTTCCTTTTTATCCGAGCGGACAACTCGGTTTACCGGTTGATTCTCACCGTACCACCACCCGACGCGAGCGAAAGGTCATCGTTACTCGGTTCGCGTCGCGAGTTGCCCCGACCACGTCAGGACGAATTCTCCTCCACTCCGTTATCTCGGCTCGTGCGCGGACTGAACTAACCTCCGTGGCCAGCCGCCGTTTCTGTCCTCTTTGAGTTGCTGCTTGGCGGCGCGGGGCGGCGGGGGTGGGGGTAGACAGGGCGCGGTGGTGGGGGGGAACGAGCTGCGCGCGCAGAGCAACGAATGCGTATGCGTTGGGGTAGTCAGTCGCTACGACCACCACCGACCCCTTTGCAACGCGACTACGACCGAAGACGACGAGGGCGACTACAATCACGACCGCGACCACGACCACGACCACGATCACGACCACGACCACCACTACGACGACGACGACGACTGTGAAAACGTGGCTGCTCAGCTTGAAAGGCGACGCGGTTTTTTTCCGGGTTACGCGGGAGCACCGATTTTTTGGGAGCTTGCGTGCCTGATTGTTTCTTTGTTTCTGCCGGTATATGGCGCGCGTATGTACATATATATATATATATATATATATACGTATGTATACATGCGGCGAAAACGCGGATACGATACAGGCTGCGGGGCATTCCGTCTCGGTTCCGTGAGATCTTTTCCAGCCGTGGCTACGCGAACCTCCCTCCCGGCCAAGTTGCTCCTCTGCCCAGCTTTTCCACTGGGTGCACGTGTACTCACGTACGTACGTGTTCACCCGGCGGACGTTCCGTTTTGTTCCGAGGGAATTAGGAGTGCGTCGGATGCTTCGGTTTCAGAGGCTGTTTGGCGTCGAGAAACACGAGCTTCCTTGTTACGGATTCTCCGAAACTAGCGGAATTTTTCACGAAAGCTCGTTCACATGTCATTCGAGATACGAGAATCCGTAAACATCGATCTTCCGTAAATTTATAGAGTTCCCCATTTAGGTGGGTAAAGGATCGATGGACAACAAAGGACGTCCAACGTTTTAATTGTGTATCGCGGCATTTGCCTATTTTAGAAAGTTAATATTGCCTCCCGCAACGAATTAAAGAACACGACGGACGGAAGAAGCAAATCGAGTTATTCGCCTGAAACTTCTCGTAAAACTTTTTACTCTTTTTATGCTGCAGCAATAAAACGTAATGTACAAAAGACAAATGTTTACGTGCATTCTTCTCTCGCGTTCTTTCTCGACATCGGAACTGTGCCTGAAGAGTAAAATTGTAAAAGACGAATGCGAATGATGTATTTGATTTTCTGTGCAAGGTGTCCCAGTTTTTATGACGTAACCGCGAGGAGGTAAATCGAAAATGTGAAATAAAATTTCAAAGGCAAAAGCAAATCGAAAATGTGAAATAAAATTCTATTCTACGTTCGAGAAACGTTAAGTAATCTTGAATTAGACTAATTGATAATCAATAGAAGATTATTTTATGTGTGAAAACAAAATAAAAATGTAGAAATAAATTTTTTTTACAAGACACTTTGTTTTTGAGAGGGTTAAATATAAAAACACATTGAGCAAGTACGCATCTGTCAATTTTTAACGAAACATACTTTGAGTAAAGCAGGCACATTGACAAATGTTCATATTCGTTATTTTTCGAAAACGAGGAAATATTATTCTCCCTTTCTCACGTATTTTTGCTTGTAGAAAACAGAAGAAAATTTTGTAATCTGTATAGTGCAATGTATAAACAAATTTGAAGTAATTGGAAACACCTCTGTCAAGCTGGTTTCGTTAATTTGATTTTTCTCTTTTGTTGATTCTCTTCTGTGTTCCAATCGTTGATACGAAGAATGTGAAGACTCGCAAGGAAATACGGGAATTTCAGAATAACAAGAGTGAGCCAATATCAACGAGTACAACGGCAAACATTTTTACTAATAAATGTACAGAAAAGTCGTACGAGTAGAAATGCCGACGTTATTCTTCTCGTGCAAACGTGTATTTCCAAACTTTTCCTTTTTAACTGCACACCTTTCTTACTCGCTTTTCTCAATTTTATTTTAATTTAATATTAACATCACGTGTACGTTAAATTCTAATTAAACTAATGAATGCACTTAATACATGTTTCATTTGCTTCATTTTATTAACTCGTATCTTTATGTTAATTTGATAATTAAGATGCTGTCCAGTGTCATATACGTATTTCGTGAACAAGATGAAGTATAAATACTTTATACTTTATTTAATTACTATGAAATTTCGTCAGTATTGTATATGAAAAAGATGTTTTCTCAGCTCCTCGTCATATTTCAATCCCTAATCATTGGGTTAGGATCAGTCAAGATTTTTAATATGTTGCAAATTTTAACGAACGACTTTAAATAGTAAATTTTATTAACTATTAAAGTAAATCTATATATAGATTCATTACAGTATGTCCACTTTTTTTTTTTAAATTTCTTTCTCGCTATTTTTGAAAATCCTTGTCTTTTATTTTTTATCTTCGTTTTTATTCATTTAATACTTTTCATCTCATCTTTTGTAACAAACACTCTAGTCCAGCAAAGCAATTAATTGCAATAGATACTTATTATACTAGTGGAACTAATAAATAATATAATGTATAACATAATATAAAATAAAAAATAATAATAATTATATAATATAATAATATAATAATAATAAATATATAATATTACATAAAATATGCAAAATTATCTAGTAGTAACATACTAGTAATAGTATTATACCAGTACAACTAATAAATAATATAATGTATAATATAATATAATATAAAATAAAAAAATATAATATACTATATAATATAATATATAATATAATATATAATATAATATACTAGTATTATACTAGTACAATTAATAAATAATATAAAGTATGACATAATATAAAATAAAAAATATAATAAATATAATAATAATAATAACAAATATAATAAATATATAATATTATATAAAATATGCAAAATTATATAGTAGTATCATAATAGTAATGAATAATAAAATATTACACGTGTTAATATAATAATGTAACTAATATTATATATATTATTATATATATTATATATATTATAAAACTAATTAAATTTTATTTAGACCTTACAATTGCTGAACACGTTTAATAGAAAAATCGGGAGTTGTAATTACCAAACAGCTTCGTCTATTTCAATTAGGAAAAGATCGTTAGAACAGTAACCCTTCAGTAACAAGTAATTACAATCATTGTCCAACTTCCCAAAATCGATCAACATTACACGCGTATCTTCGTAACTTCCCTTCTCCCCGTTATTCGTCACCTTGTCCCCTTCCGACCTTTCTCACCCTATTTTCTCTCCTTTTCCCATTCCATCCCTTCTCTTTTTCAACGAGGCGTCAACGTCTTAAAGAGGCTACTACGAATGAAGCTTGCTCGATGACGAGAGCGACAACGATCGATTCACGAGGCTCTTTTCGCATCAGGTTGAGAAAGATAGGGAAACGCGCTTGCGAAATAAAGCTCCTGTGCTTATTGCTCGCCACCATTCCATCCCGCTACGAACGCACCTGTTCTCCAAGTGGGATCAAAATAACGGTTCCCCACGGCTACGGTGGATTACTTTTATCGTTGCTTGATAGGACTGATTAGAGAATTCTTGCACTTTGTCAGTTTTTTACGTTCTCGCGATGAGAGGAATGAATAATGAGACGAAAGGTTATAAGAACACATATAAGGTATAGAAATATTTCTTTCTCATAAAAATATGATGCGTGTCTCATGTGATATTGATAATTTTATCGTCAGTTAATTATGAGAATAAAAATATAATAAAAATGAAATATTGTTTGGGTGTATATATGTTACAAATAAAAATAACAAAGTTGAAAAGTATGCTCTGCTATAAAATTATAATAAAGTGAACTGTGTTATACTATAAGAATATAATAAAAATGATATATATATATATAAATTAAATAAATTTGTTTAATAACTATTAAAATAAAATACCTATATTTTTAATAACTATTAAAAATACTATAAGAATATAATAAAAATAATATATATATAAATTAAATAACTATTAAATTTGTTTAATAACTATTAAAATAAAATAACTATATTTTAATAATTATTAAAAATTAATTATTAAAAATTAATTATAATTAATTATTAATAATTAATTATATATATATCATTTTTATTATATTCTTATATTATTTTTAATAGTTATTATATTTTTATAGTATTATGTATATATAACTTTATCATAATTTTATGGTAGAGCATACTTTTCAATTTTGTTATTTTTATTTGTATTTAATATGTATATAGAACTAGTATAGTAGTAACTAGTATACTTATATAATATATATTATACTAAAGTACTATACTGTATATTATACTATACTATACTATATTGTACTATATAAAATATACTATACTTTACCTTAAACTAAAAAAAAATATTAAATGTATATATCTTAAAATATCTTAAAAGAATATGTGCACATCTTGTATAAATTTCTTACAAAATTACTCATCTTCTCCTCTAATTTTTCCTTGTCGCCAATTTGTCTTGAACTTCAAAAAGACAATGCTTGTTCATATATGTCACATTGAGAAAGTGAGTAGAGGAATAAGGCGGATAATCGTGGAAATTTATTGCGCCTTTTCGAATCGATCAGTGATAGAATAGGCGTGCTACGCCTTATGGCTCGAGGCCAGCAAAGGTTCAGAACCCGAGAAGGTTCAGATTGAATTTAGGACATCCCAAAAGTGATTTGGTACAGAAGACACGAAGCGAATTCTTACTGTAGCTAATACTTTCGCGATAGCAGGGATTCGATGGAAGTGATGTAATTTTGTTATGAATGTACCTGCTTACAGTCTAACTCGTATGAAAACTCTTTTTCAACATATTATGTATGTTACATCAAACGGTTTTACACGTTGTGACATTATACTTTCACTATGATGATCAAGTTGTCCGAATTTGAGACTAATTTAAAAATATACATAGAAATTAATTATCGCAAAAGTATTTAAATACTTCTGTTGCATGCTATTCATACTTAAATGTAATAATAAATGCTCTGTCTAGTTTGTTCACATGTTATTAAATTTTACGTACACTTGATACGATTCCTTGTTTCAATAAAACACTGCTCGCCAATATTTTGTTTCGATGTGCAATTGCAGTGTGCAATTTTATTATAATTTATTTACTACCGTGCTATTCGAAGATCATTATCAATGACAACATGTTTTACCGAATATATACATATTTACAATGAATATCTTGCAACTCCTAACATACATTTTCAAATTTGTTTCAAACATTATCAATATAATCATTGATTGTCGTGTCTCGTTATATCATCTCTGCATGTTTATGTAATTTTTGTGGAGATGATTAAAAAAATGAATCCTAGGTAGAAAATTAATTTAGCCACTAAACATTTCCTTGTGTTTTTGTAGCTCCATAAACACGTATAAATCCAAAGTCTACTCATTACAGTATTAATAAAATTTCAAAATGTTTTGTACATTCTACACATACACGTACAAAAATTCTTTTATAATAAATGTTCAAATATCTCTGTGAGTCATAATATTACAAAATACTATGTCATAATAATACAAAAACATAATTTTTATTAAATTACAAGATTATTGAATTAAATTTAATACTCAAAATCTACAGAAACAAAATACAAATATAACTGTTCGACAAGATGAAGAATAGTTTCGATAGTTAATTTAATTTAGCTATGGTTATAAGTTTCTTCCGCAAGGATTTGGCGCTTCATACATTTTCAATGGCACCGCGCAGAGAGGTCGAGTCGTATTCAAATAGGTTCGATTATGTTCTGAGGAAGGAGATTATCTCGCATTTCAAATACAATAGATCGTCAATGACAATCCCAGACGATTATTGTCGATCGAACTTTATATCGAATTCGCGTAATAATTATCCTGCAAATCTAACTTCGACAACTACGATAATTATCGGCCCGCCTAATACCGGTTTCGAGATGTACATTTGTACAGTCTGGACAATTTACTTGGCGAAATGAAATCGATGAAAAGCAAGCGAAACCTTTTCGCAGTCTCTGATTGAGTTCGAACGTGGCACAAGCCTGCCGTCTTGTTACGCCCACGTCAGTCAGGTTACTTTCGTTAATTTGATGTTGCTGCTGAAGTTCTGAAAGCTGTACTCTTAACACTTCCGAATGAAATCTCACCGAAAAAGAAAAAAAAAAAAAAAGAAAAAAGGAATCACCGTTCCTTCGTACACTTTTTCAATTTAATCTGATTTTTACGCGGAAGAATTCCTGTTTCATTTTTATTGAGCCTTTGTAACCTTTAGTGAGACTTATCTCGGCTTTTTGAACATGTGAGTTGATCGAATTCATCCTATTCTAAGATTACGTTGCTGACGCTTTAACAGTTAGTCAGATTAGTCACTGATTGTTCACGTTTGCTTGAATTTTCAGCAAGTTCAATTCTCTGAAAGTCGCAGAGACTGCACACTGCCTTAGAACGTGGTCTTTCAAGATTGCATTTACATTTGCTAATCGTACCAACGGGAAAGGAGGAAGCTGTTAAATTACAACAGGTTGGCTCTCGCTCGCGATTCATTTTGCAGATGAATTCTGTGGAAGGATCATGGCGTTTGCGCGTCGCCATACAAAAGTATTTCGAAATTTATGTTTCATCTTTGCATAGATCTAGATGTTAATTGCATCAAGTACACGATGGTGCAATGTTATAAATTATGTCATTAATTCTAAATCTGTGAAATTTCAAAATAAATTTTTGTGCAATAAATTGTGCAGACAGCTCGTCAAGTAATTGAGAAAGTGACTGATTTCTATGGAAAAGAACAAACATTAACAAAACGTAAGAACGATAGTTCAACGATACTAAGAAACAATTATCAATATAATAAAGAATGATCATTGAAATTATTTCATTTTATCTTGAAATGAAACTTTTGAATTTTAATTTGAATATCGTGAGATTGTATCTCTTTTGCCTGCGTCTGACTAACTATGGGTTTGTTCTACTTAATAAGTTTCCACGTGAATCATACTGGTTTCATAGGAAGATAAATTATCTCGCAGTCATGATGTATATGACAGATTAACATATTAGAAACGAGATAGCACTCAGAGCAACTGAAAGACGTAATATAGTACAGCGTTTCATTTCTAAATCCTCATTATTCGAATACTCTAACATCGAAATATTCTGTTACTCTATCTGAGTATTCTATTATTCGATTAGAAGATTTATTAATAATAAGTGTCTTTTTCTATGTTAAACAAGTTTTAATTGTTTTTTTATAATTATAAGAAGAACCTACTGAAATGACCTAATGAGATATAATATTTTAGTAACAATATTTTAGTACTAGCGAGACAATAAATTATGTTTGATTTCATGAATTTTTGTGCATTTTTAAATGTCAGACTAAAGAAATGGATTTATTAAATATTATAATAAATATTAATCTATCTATTAATAAATGTTATAATAAATATATAATACATATTATAATAAATATACTCTATAATAAATATATAACAAATATTATAAATATTATAATAAATATACTCTATTCCAGATATTATATATATATATATATATTTTTTTTTTTGCATGTTATAGTGTCTTCAAATTTCCCATAAATGCATGAAAATTACACGAGCCAAATAAGTAAATTCAGTTTTGCGAAAATAGTAAAAAACATAAGAACTAGAAATATTACAGCGAACACTGTATATTGGATATTTTATGTATTTTTATTTATTACGCGCGTTCTGTCCGCTTTCACACATTCAAATCTCCCATAAATGCACGAAAATCCGCGGTCTAGTGTTTCATTAGCATAACGTTTTTAGTAAAACCTTTTTATCCATTTGTCCTGCATCCATTTAGAGATGCAAAAATATACAGAATACCACGCAATGAAACTATACAAAAACTACGCGCAACGGAGTATTCGTTTGAATTTTTTCACTAGATAAAGCAAATTATTATACAAAGATTTGTTTATGAGAATTTGAAGTTACGTAAAAATAGTACGCAGTTTGCTGTTAGCAATCCATATTAGCGAAATAACGTACAGAAAAATTGCAGATAAATAATTAGGAACTATGATTAGGAAAATTCGCTGGTAAATTAATTTGGAAATATTATTCGTATTAACAAGTGTTCGCATTTCAGCGAAATAAGATACAAAAAAGATACAAATATCTGTAGACCAACCAATTGAGAAATATTATCATATTGTTGGAAATATCATTATATTATTATTAAAATAATAATAATTCGCGTTAGCAAAATACTATGATTTAACAGAAAAATTGCAGATAAATAATTTGGAAATATGATTATTGGAAATTCGCTGGTAAATTAATTTGGAAATATTATTCGTATTAACAAGTGTTCGCATTTCAGCGAAATAATATACAAAAAAGTTACAGATATCTGTAGACCAACCAATTGAGAAATATTATCATATTGTTGGAAATAACATTATATTATTATTAAAATAATAATTCGCGTTAGCAAAATACTATGATTTAACAGAAAAATTGCAGATAAATAATTTGGAAATATGATTATTGGAAATTTGCTGGTAAATTAATTTGGAAATATTATTTGTATTAACAAGTGTTCGCATTTCAGCGAAATAATATACAAAAAAGTTACAAATATCTGTAGACCAACCAATTAGGAAATATTATCATATTGTTGGAAATATCATTATATTATTATTAAAACAATAATAATTCGCGTTAGCAAAATACTACGATTTAACAAAAAAGATTGCGGACAAATGTTTGCAACTTGGAAATATTGTAACATTATCGTTTAACTCGTGTCATGCAAAAGAAAATTACAAACACATTCGTAGGTCAAATAATTGAAAGTATTGCCATTTTGCAAATATTCGCAGTAATAAGTTGGAAATATAATAATTATTATACGCATTTATACGTTATTAATATACGCATTGTTCAAAGTGTAACTAAATTTGCCAAAGTGGTGTAAAATTTCGAGTAAAATTTTATATTTTAATCTATTATTTATTAAAATTATTTGCTATCGTTTAATAATTTATTATCTATTACAATTTTAACGTGTATATAAAATTTTGGCAAAGTGTACAATTTTGTAGGTCAAATAATTTGGAAATTGGAACGTACACGCACACGAGACATATGACGAGCGTCGAACATGATCGACGACGTCATGAAAATTCGGGGAATGCCTCAATTCGTACCTCGATCGTTCTAGGCTGAGTACGTTTTCATTCCGCGTTGCTAATCGACCTGTATCATGTAATGTGCGTAAACACATTGTAATGACAGATTGCTACCGCTGTGTGTGATACGCGTTAAATTCAGAACGTTCAGCGGCCGCTCGGAGGGTTTATTATTTTGTTTACGTAAACTGTGCAATATCTCGACGGCAAATAGAATTATTAACGTGGGGATATACAGCGAGAGCAGACGGAAAAGAGAAAAGGCGACCTGCGCGCGCCATAAATTAAATTATTCCAGTCTGTTTATTAGTCTGTTTATGGACTTTTCTGGTAGCTGTCACGTCGCATTAAATAACGAGAACGTAACGCGTTTGGCAAGTAAGAAATGTCCTTCAGAAAAATCGATGTGTTGTAACCCCACCCTCCAAAAAAAGGGTCGCTGAGATAATAACTATGGAATTTTAATTAAAATTTCAAGTGTGTTAATTTTATTTGACGCTTTATATCATCTGGTTAATAAATCAAATTTATTTAAATTTTCTTTCACAAGTAGATGTTATTCGACAATTGTGGTCTCTCAGTTTCATCCACTTTTATCGAAATTGCCATTTTAATTACAAATGTACAAAGTAAAATGAGTTCAGTCTTTGCGAAATAAAAGATCGCAAAACGACGAGATATTGCACGTTAATTTTCCACTAATTTTTGTTTTAATAATTGTTAGATATTCAACTCTTTATTGCCATTTGATCGAGTGAAATTAATCCAGGCAGTGATTCGAAAGCAGCGGTTAGACGTCGTAAATATTGAATTAATTTAAAGCGGCGGTGTTATTGTAGAGGGGAGCCACTTTTGACGTCGCGTATGGCGCCAAATTTGCTACGCCGCAATTCTGAGGCAATGTACATCGTACACACGTTACGTTAGGCGATCGTGTCGGGCAATATTCTCTCTGTTCTACTTCGGCGAGGATCTCCCCTCGGGGTGTTTCATAAGACAGCATTGATACGAATGAACAATTACATATTCAGACATACGTCCACGTTTACGTAACTATAGATCGTTTCCAGGAGTTCGTTGCATCGACTTTTTTTGTACCTCGTTAACCATGTTAACGGTAGATGAAAACTAACGAACGTTATCGACGGGTTGTATTCAAATCTGTTAAAAGGGAATTAGTGACATTTTTCAGTTATGTGACAGCCTATTGGCCTGTTTGTGTTTGTAAATTAATCTTTATTAAGCGTTATTCGCAGAGGGATCGTTTTTTCACAGTCCTTTTTTTCCAGTTCGTTCACAGTTCGTACTTGCAGTGAAACTACATTGTAACGCGATTCTGTAAGAAATGAAAATGACTGTGGCTATGGATGAGCAGACTGTGGACTTTTATGAAAACTCATGTAATATTGTATGAAATAATAATATAATAATTTAATGTTAGAATAGAAAGATGGATAAGTAGTGGAAAATCTGTTATTAAATTTATTGTTGTGCATAGTATGCACTGTAATTTGGATAATTTCCATGTTCCTTCATATTGCAAGCATTACTATATAGAATAAAATTCGCACTTTGAATTTCTCCATAGCAATGAATGCTTCTTTAATTGGCCCAAGCAGGTAAATTTACATCATAGATATACGTATATAGTGTTTGATTTAATTTTTTGTATTAATTCAAATCAATTAATAACATAAATATCAAATGCAATTAATCAAATGATATCGAATATAAATATAAATGTAAGTAACAGCTAATTACTAAATATCATTTACTAAATTAATGATTAGTAAAGGAATCTTTTTTCTATTGAGTCCTAGTTGCAGTAAAATCATATTGCAACGCGATTTGATGTTCTTCCAAGAAACTACATATGTATAAAGATTCATTTTTAAAAACATGATAAACAAAATAGAGACAGAAAATTATTTTATGTACCTAGTACAATGGATTATTTAGACAATATAATATAAATTTAGATAGAATATTGTAATATATAATATAATAGATTATTTAG